TCTTTGACTTTCCATACTTCCTTTACTTCTACCTTCAGCTGCATCTTCTCATTTGTAAATCTTTCCAACTCTCAGTTCTATTTGTCTTTCTCCAACTCTATATCAAAAATCATCAGATGTTTTCTTTCTTCCATTTGTTTCTTATCCAATTCCATTTCTAACTCCTTATTCTTCCCATTACTTCTACTTTCAAGTTGTTGTTTTCCACTTTTAACCATTTCTTTTTTATTTGCTCCATTTTACATAGGTACTAACTCTTCATGCCTTTGTCTCTCTTCCATTTCTTTTCTTTCATTCTCTTTTAATTCACTCTTTTTCTTTTAAGTAATAATCCAACTACTCACTTATCCTATTACTTTCTCCTTTATTCTTATGTAGTAGGTATGTCTTTATTTAGATCCTTATAGTCTGTTTTTTCTATGATTTCCTTTAAAGTTCCGCATTTTTTTTCTTAATTTCTTCTTTCTCTTTATTTTTCATCAAAATTTGCCAACACAATTCATATACTAAAATACTCTTTGCCTTATTTGATAAAATAAATTTTTGTATTAAATTTTTTTATTATGACATATTCTCCGCTATGTCCAAGTCGACCCCTCGGAGGCCACACTAGCAGATTAATACTAAAAACTTAATATCATTCACTTCAAAAGGCATTAAGAGAACTCTTAAAACAAGAAGTTCTGTATTCTATTTAGAGATTATAATGTCTTCATTTCACCACTCACAAACCAAATCATCGGAAGGTTTTAGTAATTTCAGTCGTATACAATAACCAATTATACCTAATTTAAATGACTTAAAACTATTGACTTTTTAACTTCATAAACTTGTTTATAAATCACTCAGAATTGACCCATATTTGTGTTGTTTCCTTGAACACCCTGTATAAATATACGTTGGTCTTCTAATGGTTTTGTTAGCATAAGTAATTACCGCTTCCTCCTACAAGTAGTGTGTCATTATTGAGTATTTATTTGTGCAAAAAAGTACAAACCTTTTAGATAATCATGCGTATCATTGACACATGTAAGTGCATGTTGTAATAATAATTGTGAATCAATGATGAAATTTGCGTAGTTGTGAATAATTTGTCGAAAATGGCACATGGTGTTTTGCAACAGAGTTGTAGGTAAATGAGCGTTCCTTTTTTTCTGCTCCATCGGAGCGAAATCACTGCAAATGCAATTCTTTAAAGACAATCGATATTTTTAAACGTGGAAAAACGTAAAATACTATTTAAGGTTAATAAAACTTTTCTTTTCTTTTTAATAGTATTTGATAAAACATTCCAATGTTAATTATTTGTGGTACTGTTAGCAAAAATGTAAAACTTTTAACTTCTATCAATTGCAATTCGATTTACCCCGTATTCATAATTACAATACCCCTGTAACTTTTGACACTATCCGTCGTCCCCTTCCTAAATATCTATACCATAATTTCTTAGAAAATACCACAAATGGCGCGGTAAACGCCATCTGTAGTACGATGCTACATTTTAGGATTACGTATGCTCCAACAAGGTCCATTTAAACATATGGATATCTACTTGCTAAAACGAATCCCGGCGTAGCTAACCTCAACGTGATAGGCACGTTACCATAATCGAATAAAGTAATTCGAAGTGGTCTGTATTCTGTCGAAACTGCCAGACACGGATCGCGATTTCGATCTTTTTGGATTTCATCAGCGCGGCGTAGGCAGCTTCGGCAGAACACAGACCAACTTTTACCTGCTGTCTTAACAGTGCGTTTCAGAATATACTACAAACGGCACAGTGAAACGCAGTTTTTTGTCTAGTTCGAAAATAAAAAGCTACTTAAGGTAGTCCGGTCGAGATTTAATTCTAAAATCAGTGCTTGAATAAAAGGTTATAAAATAAACTAATTATTATTTTAAAATTACAAGAAGAAAACTAATAATTTTACGCACAATAGATTTAACAAGATAACCTATTAAAATGTGTTACTGCATAACAAATAATTTCATCTCTACAGTTATTAGTCATGCATCTACTAGAACCGTTAAGATGAATCTAAATCACCTTAATTTAAAAATAAAATGAATACAATTAATATAAAAAAGTTATTCATATTCTTCATATACAAGTGCAAGCTGCTAAACTGATTACCATAAGAATCATGTAAACATTGTACTATAAATAGCTGCTAATAAAGTTAGCCCCTTTCGTGCCCTCCAACCCTGAACTCTGGCTCTGAATGATTGAAAACAGTCTTGATGCCTCCGAAATTATTTAAATCCACGAAGTTTGGATATGTACTACACAACCCTGACTCTCGCTACGCGGTGGAAGTACATGATATCATTGTCAGCCCCTACTATTGAACTATATGCCACCATCAAAGCAGTAGTTATTCGTTGCTGGGAATTTCTCAAGAATTGGGCAATGGGAAACCCATATAATTTCTGCATCAGCTTCGGCGGCACCACAATACCGGGCAATCTACTGCGAAGTATTTGGTTAAATCGTCTCCCTTTAATATTTAAATCANAATTTTTCACACACAAGCCTTGCTATATGAGCTCTCAAAGCATATAAAAATTATACGGCTTAAATGTGAAGTTGGGTGCAAAAGAATACAATTAAATCCTCTGTCGGGAAAAAACGAAATGACTTTCCGAACAACTCATTAATTTCAAATTAAGCATTAAATTGTAATAAGAAATTATATTAATATAAATTTGAAAAAATGTACCTTGAGATGAAACATCAAGTGGAAAATACTCATTCGAATGTAATTATAAATATTCCGTTCTTCTAGTTATTTATTATTTCTCTTGGGATACGTAACCTCCACGTCTGTTATTTTATTGCAACACTTATATTAAACGATGATGCCTAAATAATTAAACTGATAATACAATGATAAGCCGTATAATTATCTGTACAATTTATCAAATAAATAATCATTGTTAAAATGATTGTAAGGTTTCGAAAGTATTCGTCTTATGTTTACCATTCTTACAACATGGATCTTTGACGTTTAATATTGAAATTACATAATTTATTGTGTGTGTGTTCTTTAATTACCTAATAATCAGATTTTTAACTTAATAAGTACGTACCTACCCGTTACAAATATTGATGAATGTTTTAGAATGGCTGCATTTGTGTACTTATAAAGAAGGTTCATTCTTAATTTGAAGTTGAGATTTTCTCAACATGTTTATTTTTGAGACAAACGAAATGTAGGGATTGTTAGGAACATATTTCGCATACGGTTATCTCCCGCTATATCATCATGCCTCTAGCATAAGTCGAATTTCCCCGTAATTTGTATAACAAAAGAATTTTGTGACCTTTATAAGATCCTATCACATAATGGTTAGAAAAGTATTTCCAGCAATTTACAGGAGTCATTTTAAGTAATCATTTTACAGACAAAAAACACTCAAAAATAAAAGTTTGCTCACCTACACGGAGAAAATGGAAAAGGAAAATTTACCTAAATATTAAAGGGATATTTACAATTTATCCCACTATCACGTTGCTTCGTAAGCTAAAATAATAGAAAGTATAATTTGGACCCAAATTTGTAAAATAGGTATTTTAGTTGATATTACAAATTTAATTGTAATAATTAAGAAAAGTGAAGTAATTTTTAAGCCCGCGGCTTCGCTCGCAGAAATTAATATTATTTCTCCATAAAACCTTTTAATCTACAATTCACCCTTACAACGTTTTAATTGTATGTAATGTCGCCATCTTAGATTTCAAATACAAACGTAACAACAACAGTTCATCCTTAAGGGTTGGTTTTTAAAAATTGCCAAAACACGTATTTGCTTAATTTCAACAATGAACAACTTTCGAGTAAATCCGAGTACAAATAAAATATACCTACCCCATGGGAACGTTGCAACGTCTTTTCATTTGATTAATAATATCAAACAACATATATACGAAGTTTCAAGTAAATTCAATATATGTTCCATTTAAACATTGCAACTCCTCTTCATCACTCCTCCTCCCCAACAGAGATTGAATTTTTGTTATACCATTTTTAACAAATGAACGGCTAGACTGATGCTTTGACTAATAAATTTTTTGCGTTGCGTTTTATTACTCCATGTCAGTTGCGCTTTCTTATACCATCGAACAAAATAATTCGAAGTGGTCTGTATTCTGTCGAAACTGCCAGACGCGTATCGCGATTTCGATCTTTTTGGATATCATCAGCGCGTCGTAGGCAGCTCCGACAGAACACAGACCAACTTTTACCTGCTGTCTTAACAGCGCGTTTTAGGTTTCTTATACCATGTTTTATGTCAAGTTCCACGGGAACGGGAAAAAAAGTATTCTGTCTTTCTCCTGGTTCTAAGGTACCTCTCCACAAATTGTTAGCGAAATCGGTTCAGCCGTTCTTGAGTTATAAATAGTGTAACTAACACGACTTTCTTTTATATATATATAGATGTCAAAATTGAGATTATTACAAGTTACCTAATAAATTCTATTATTCTACGGTAAATTTAGTCATTTGTCATAAAAATTTAGTTTTCTTCGTGTAGATGAAATTGTAAGCGAGTTTCGGTGTCTGTGCGCTGTTTCAGCGCTTCTCAATTTTTCTATAATGAGAGCCGTTATGGGTGCACCTCAAGGTAGGAGACAAGCACGATAATCTTGAATCTAAATAAACCCGGAGCAACCCCCTTGGTTTTACGATAAACCTTCAGTTGTCATCATTTGAATCATCAAACAATCTGTTGAAATGTAAATAGAAAGTCTCTGTTGTTACTAAATAAATAAATTTTGCAAGAAGATTCAATTTTAATTAAATCAACTTTTGTTATGCAACAATCTATTCATTGGGTACATAATTTAGTTTAGAAATTACTTGAGCATTCCTCATAGCCAACACCCATTCAATTGTGATGTATATGTACGGAAAACATTATAGTTTTAAATCAAACCTGGAAGTTGTATGATAATTACTTCATTAAATACTGCGAAGCTTTTTCAGCTTGGCATTGCGTGCTCGTGCCATTCAGCGATTCCATTTAACTTAATTCACATCAGTTACGTTTACACTCTGTTGATTTCTGACGGCAGACCACACTTTGCTTTTGATACCTGCCTTACGTTAGTCTCGAACCGCAGCTTGTGTCAAAAACAATTATTTTGCATAAAACAAGTTTTCGGAATCATCAGGAAAAAAAAATGGCAACAATACTTTGGTACCAACGTACAAAATCGGACAAAATAACGCGCTTTTTTTCAGCACGACTGTGAAATGTTTTCATGTTTCATTTGGTCAGTGCTGTTGGAAGTTTTGTGATGAACGTTGCTAATTAAAAGTGAGAAAAGGCGAATGATTACTAAGTGTTAGTTATGACACTTTATTATCACGAGTGCCAGTGTTACGAGTGTAAAGGTGGCGATTTACAGTTTATATTTGGCTACCCTCTATATCCTCCTCATCTCTATTTACGAAGAAGTTCCAAGTTTAATAATTGTAGCAACAAGTTAAAAAGAGTTGCGAAAAAATTCGATCATTTCACAGTGAAAACCATCAGGTTGTGTAAAGTAAGTATGCAATATTTTAACCAGATTTTTCCGCGACTTCAAGGACCCGCGTTCGATTCCCGGCTAGGGCATGACGGCAGCAACAATTTTTTCTCGTTAATTTGAGGTTATCTGTGTTGGTAAAAATTAATAGTCATTAATGTTTCGAAATAAATACAATTATAATAACCAATTAATAATTTAAAAAAAATTATATAGTATTACTCCTGACAACCTCTTGTTCACATCTTTAAAGTCTTATCGAAATCGGCTATGCCGTTTCGAGGATTAGCCCGTACAGACAAACAAAAACTTTTATAAATAATAATGATGTTAAATAGAAACAATTATTTCAATATTACAGTGTCTGTGGACACTTTAATTTTGTTTATATGTATAGATGTAATGTAACCGTTACATCTCAATTTTTTTAGTACAACCCTTGTTTGGCCTCAATAGCATAATTTTGAAACATCATTTTTTAGATGAAATATCTGCACTGTAATATTATAGAGGTAGATAATAACATAAAAATAAGCTACTTAAATTGTAATGATATAAATGACTGCCTTTTATTAACTGAGATTAATTTTTTTATTTCGTGGGCATCATTTTTTATTGTTTCGTCTTAAATGTTATAAAAAAATCACGTATGTTTTGCAGAAACTCGGGATTTCGTGAAACGCAATTTGAGAAACGCTGTATCTGATGACTATTTACTTTTCCCTTTACATAAGATGTTGATTGTAACACGTATGTTTCAACAAAAAATTTACTTACATATTTGTTTAATACATTACCAAGAATAAATTAATTATTATAATACGTGTTTATGGTATAGATACCGTAAACTGGCCATTTGCGTAATACTTATTTGTATGTTGTTATACAATATTATACATAATTTTCTCTGTAAATGATATTAATTGCACATGCATAATGATATCAGAACAAATATTATAAACTAATTAATTCTGTCCGTAAAACGCACATGTAGGGCATTAAAATTGCATTAGGTGACAAATGTGAAGTACGCATAATGTTTGTTTTCCTAAAAAAAGCTATTGATTTTTAATTAGTTCTCTTTTAATATTCGGCAATTGCACTAATTTTAAAGGCAATTATGTTTGAAAATAATAATAGCACCTACAAGAAACTTCAGAATGATTCGTTTTTTATTGAAATTTTAAAGTTTTTTCGGTATTTATTATAAAAGGAAGTAAAACAAAACTTATCTATCGTTTGAAAGATATTGTAATGATATGTAGAAGTGCATGATATGAAAATCATTAGTATAAAAATTATTGCATTTATTTTGATAAGAAACAAGTTAAATTTCGACCTTGCACCAATGGAGAGAGGCACACTTCAAAGGTAAATTTAAAAAAATAAGGAAACTTCAAAAATGAAGTTGTCGTATTTTTTAAAAAAAGGTCTTCCCTTTCCAAAAATCCAATGGATGCTAGTAGAAAAATTACCTGAGATGTAACTCTTGTCGGAGAGAATCCGAGGGTAAGAAGCTAGCCCATAAAAAGGCAAACGTTGCAATTATGTTAAATTGAAAATTTTCAGTTATTTCCATGTTTGTATCAGACAGACGACCAAGTGAGTGATTTTCCTGCAAAATTATTTACAGACTAACTAAAAGCAGTTTATTTTGGCTATAACATATCTTTAGGGTGTATGTATATGCCACCAACTTAACAGACGAATTTAAGAATTTAAATCCACCCACTTTTTCCAATTGATTAACACCAATCCAAATCCGTCAAAGTTTGCTGTCTTTATTTATTGTTTCTGATTAAACGAAAACACCTTGGAAAATTCCATCTTTCAATGAAATCTTCTAATGGTCAAATTTAATTAACACCACCATTGCAATCTACAAGGAGACCTTAATCGTTCACACGTAAAATGGTTACAAAGTTATATTCAAACTATGTAAACTTAAACTAAATCTGAATTGCAAGAGTCTACATTGAGCAAAATCTAATGACGGATTATTAGTTGTCTATATCTATACAATTCCTTGTTTGTATGTTTCCTTAAACATTTCATATAGTTCCAGGATATTCATATCTTTTAATTTACATTGATCTCCTTGCTATATTTCACACATCTGTTATCGTTTTCTACAATTTTAAATCTAACAATGCAATTTTGAACCGTTTTGTCCACGGTTAACTGAGTGACAGACAAACATACAAATCTATAAGCACTAGAACCGGTCGATGTAAATCAATTACGTTTACGTCATTAATATCTATAGGCTGTACGAGCTAGTACCGGAAGGTAATAATAACAATGCGTTTAATTCGTATAATACGCTCGAAAATGCATAAACTAGGAATATATATCGGTGCGGAATCCCAACGACACCATGTTGTCGGTGTGTATCGGACTTTACAGTAACGTTAAACTACGGGTAAGGAAAAATGGTCACCGAATACAAAAGTTATACGGTGCATGAGCGAAAAGGCATTATTTGATGAACGTGTAGATATTACAACCACGTCTATTTGAAAATATACCTACTAAAAACTATTCTAACCTTAAAATCTTTTGAACAAAGCCTAACACCCCTTTAAAAAACTTTAAATTGCATTTATTATTTATAATTTAAGTTATATTCCTGACTGTTAATTTTAAAGTTTATTGTTTATATGAAAAGATGACTAAAGATATTTGTATGGATTTCCCTATACTACGTCGCATTTTTTAAAAGATGATGCCGCCCTTTGACAATTGCATCTAATCAATCCCTATGGTCGGTTCTGATTTCGCCACTAATCTATAGGATTTCGTATGTGGTAGGGAACTCTAAAAACTGATTTCGCCCTGTATATTTTACCTGCTCATGCTTTAACAAGCATGAGCAGAAATAATATGATTTTCGTTTTTGTCTTCAGTTACTATTACAAACAGATAGTTAACGCATTATTAGAAAAGACCTTTAACAGTTGGATAACTGAGAAAAATACCGGATCGCGTTTTAACAAAAAAAAAAACAATAGACATTTTTTTGCTTTGATGGAATATTATGGATTAACATCGACATAATAAAACACAACAATAATTCAAAATAAAAAAAAATTGCTTGTTTTAATTAGTGGCTGTATACCTAGGCATAAAAAGCACGAAGTATTATTACCATTATGCTTGAATGACAATTGCAATAAATAAACTTCAATAAACTTGCTGCTGACAATTTTAATTTATAAAAGTATAAGTTTAGGATATCCGAAAACAACACATATCCGAAATGTTTTATTCGTTAATTAACAGACCTTTATGTTCATCTCCGATATCGCTGAAATTTAAGTGTTTCTTACGATTACTTCACCACGCTGAGCAAAAATATACATACAGGCTGTCTCAAAACTCTGTGTATATAGAGCAATCATAGGTTCCTGAAATCAAAATTGAACTAAACTATTCTAATATATACCAAACTGATTCGTTTGACCGAGAGAGGGCGCCAAAGGTACAAAAAATTGTTTCTGTTCCATTACTGGAAAACGCTTAGTATGATTTCGATATATTTTAATACATAAAACATGTTTCGAAAACTACTAATTACTCGTCAATTAACATAACATACAACAAGTACAAAATTAGGTGCTCCTACCCTTAAATTGTTTGAAACCTTATTAAAGGGTAGAATAAGTGCGTCAATCATTTTTTTTAGAAAGGTTCCTATATCTTTGCGTCATTTTTAGTTATTAAACAATAAAATCTACAACAGGTTCAAAGAAAAAAGTTCCTCTATCGATATTTTCTGACAAAAGAACAGGAATTACCCTTAAGTAGATCAAGTATCGGTAAGTAATTTTTAGGCTTGATTTCTTATCCCGATAATTTTTTTATGGAATTATTTCTTCTTTACCTATACATTTTTTATCTTAATAAAAAGTCGTATCTGTAACAGTTGTGGACGAAAAAATACGTTGAGTACGCGCATAATCAACTTTTTGTATCTGATGGTGCATTTTAAAACTTGGCTGTCTGATAATCACAAAGTATATTTCTTCAAACATCAAGAAAAGATTTAAAATCTATTGTGGCCATATACTGTTGTTTGTAGGCCTCTAGCAGTAGGAAGGTTCATATAGCCAAATCCTTATTCTTAAATTTTAATAGATGGAGACACAACAGCAGTATGTCAACTATTCTGAAAGTGATTATCTCTTTTTTTTTTAATCATATATTTTGTAGAATTAGCATTCTTGACAAAAATGGCTCCAAAAAATGTTTTTATTATATTAGTTTTGGGTTAGGTTAGGTTAGTTTCTTGCTTAGTATTTTTTTCATCTCGCATCCCCTGATCCTCCACCGATCCGTCCTCACTTAAAACCACTTTTAATAGTGCACAAAGTCAAAATAATTAACTGGTTTATTGTTAAACAACATACAAAATGATGCATGCTTCAGTATGTTACCATTAAATTGTAACGAATGAATTGTCTGGTAGTTTTTTAAACACATAAATGTTGTTAATTTTATAAATTCATTGTGCAACGATAATATAGAAGAGAGAGAGAGGAGGTCATGAGGATGTAAATTATTTCTCACTCACTCTCTCATTATTTTAGGAACCAACTACGTATAATTTTTTCATTTAATAAGGGAAATTCAAAATAACTAAAGAAATTTTCATTTATCTGTAAAACGGTCAAGTTATTTACCAACTTACGGAAAATTTTACTTCAACACAAAAAGTCAACACAAATTGCATTTCTTTAGTTTATGGTCTAACAAATTTAATTAATCTAGAACTGTTTTTTACTGTAAACAATTAATCTACTATCTCAAGAAAAATACAAAAAATACCCATAGACAAAAGTATTCAAACTATCTATTTAAATTTCTTCTCAACTCAAGACGGAAACCATAAACTTGTGTGCTACCTTGTCAAGGTTAAATGGTTGCGTTTGTAAGTTTTAATCTACTTTTTGCGCTAAAATTATCTTGCTTTTAAATAAATTTTTGTTTAAATGTCACTAAAACAGGTATTACACACC